GAGGGAATTATGGAGATAATAGCGAGAAAGAAGAAGATGGTGGGTCTCGTGATGATGATGAAAGTATGAGTTTTTATGATGTGGGTATGATGATGAATATGGAACATGTGTTAGATGACGATGAAGAAGAAGATGGTTGGTGTTTGGTCTGAAAAAGAAAAGAAAATCATCATTGTCTCCTCTCACGTGGAACAGCTTTTGCTTTGTCTATTGCAAATTTTTAAGTGAATGTAAAATGATTCTTTTTATGTAAAAGCTTTATCAAGAAGAAGAAGCAATTTCAAGATCCAAGATTAGATCAAATAAAGAAACTAGAGTTGTTCTTCATTACATAGTAGACTTATAACAAAAGATTTAACGAGAGAAGAAACAGAAGAAGCTATTTCCAATTTTTTGTTTTGTTTCCTATTTTGCACTCAGACTCTTTCTTTAAACTGGTGAAACAAAGAGAGTATAATCGGTGCCATCTATGTAACGAAATTGTTAATCAACTAAAAGCTTGTGCGAACGATCGAGTTTTTCGAAAACCCGAAATCGATCTTTTTATTCTCCCGTTTGCCATTTGCAGACTTGTGTAACGGTTTCTACATTTTCCAAAGAGTTTCTTCAAAGATGTTTGTTTCCTTTGTTTGTACCTTCTATGCCTCTCTTATGGATTCTCTTACTTCAAACAAAGACACCGAAACTGCTTCTTCTTCTCGGTCTTTCTCTGCGCAAACACGCAACCGATAAATGAGAAACATCTTCTCTTTTGATGTGTTCATGAGATTTCAACTGACAAAAAAGAAAAAATCTTACCTTTTTCCTGGTCTGATTCTGATCTTGAGCTTTGGCATTACCCATAAAACATCTGTTGGTACAACAAAGAAAGATCACCATAATCAAAACCAGAAAACATATCAATACAATGCATGAAAGAAAGAAAACACACAGAGTCTGACTTACTTCAAGAAACTGAATCTCTGGCCATGAGCCGGTTTTTCTTCATTCTGATTCATCGGTCTTTCGCTGCAATTACGTCACATAAAACAATCAGAAAAAGACTGATATTATCCAAAAAAACAAGGTTTCTGTACACACATAGAGTAATCACAAACCTTCTTTTCTCTATCTCTGTATCTATAGATTTAGGAGGGATTGTTTTCTCCAGAGACAATCTAAACACCGGTTTGTTCTTAGTTATCGATCTCCTCTCTTTCTTCTTCTCACCAACTGACCAATCCTCCTTCAAAACGTCCTCCTTGACTTTGTCATCAGAATCACTAATCAACGCATTTTCCTTCTCTTTTTCTTCCAATTCATCGGTCGAATCATCCACTAGAGCGGGTTTGTTATCCGAAACGTCCACAAGATCATCAAACTGATGAATACTTTTCCTTGCGGATTCTTCGTCTAGTTGCAAATTCAAGGGAGGCTGAGTTTCCAAAGTTTGAAGCAAGACTTCAGCAGGGGTTACGGTTGATTGTTCTTGTGTTGCAGCTTTCTTAGCTTCAGCTATTCTCTTGTAATGAGCTTCAAAGAAAGCTTTCTTCTGTGCAACAGATCCAGGACGAGAGTATTTCTCTGCTTCTTCAACATACTTCTTATGTGAAAAGCTTGACCATTTCCCCCATTCAAGATTCTCACTCATAAATTTCCCAAATGATACTGATTGACTCAACGCATGAACTGTGTGATCCTGCAAAACAAAATCCAAACAACACAAAAGTTGTTAGCTTTGTGCTCCAATTCCACTTTCAGATGAATCTTATGAGCTACAATGAATTTTATTTTTCACATAA